TGGGCTGCACGAGGCCCGAGAACCGCCAGAGCTGGCGTGCGTCGCAGCCTGCTGCGCCGCCCTCATCCGGAGGGACATATCGGGGGCCGCGAAAGGTTTCCCTGGCCCACGGTGTAGATCAATTGCCCGTCGCCGTTGCCGACGATCGAGGGTGCAGGATCGAGTTTTCCGGGCGCGTGCGGTCTGGGGCGTCGTGCACGGGCACTGGGGGTTTGGGTCAGGGGGAGGGGGAGTGCGTTGCGCTTGCAGGAGGTGGCAGGACAGGATAGGTGAGGTTGTTTCAGTGAGAAGGGGCCGTGGACAAAATCTGCTGGTCGAGCGCAGGACAAGCAAGTTGCTGGGGCAGAGTGGAAACGACGACGAGCGGTAAAGTTGAATGCGAATGATCGGCATCGACAAAGAGTGGCGAAAACGACGACGGCAACGAAGGAACAAGAAACGAAAAAGGTTGAATGCAAATCCGCACGCGGGCCGCATGAACCACACGTGAGGTCCCATCCCGCCCGCACCTTCTTGTCGGCCACTTCTTGTCAGGAAACATATATGTTTGTGCTTTTCGAGGGGACGAACATCTGCCTCCCTGTTTCGCTCTAGCCCCGCACGTATACTCGCTATTGAAGGTTGGAGGGGGGGTGTGCGGCGCAACAACAAACACATCGTCGATCTTCGAATCTCTTCTTCCTCCTCTTCCCTTCTCGACCCGTTGCATGCCCAGTGGAGTCCGCATGACTGGGCTCTCGTTTTTTGTTGCGCGTGCATGTGTGTGTGTGTGTGTGTGTGTCTTTGTGCTTTTTTGTTGCGTGTGTGTGTGTGTGTGTGTGTGCTGCGGCCCACGCCCGTCGACCTGGCACCCCGTGTACTACTTCGGCGACGTCACTGCTGCGTGTGCTTGCTTTACCCGCCCTGGGTCCCGTCTGCGCCTGTGGGTGCCCCGGCGCCGCTACCATGGCAGCTGCCATGGTTCCTGCTGGCGGGTCTGGCCGCGCCAGCACACTTTGGTGAGAGCTCTTCCACCTCTGACTTCAGGAGGAAAAAAACACACAGACACAATTAATCGTCGGTCCCCAAGAAAATATGGGAAAATAGGGGACTTGGGCGGGAAGACAAACATCCAGAAAATGTTAGAAAATATGGGGAATCATTCTATTTGTGTGTATTTATTTGTGTGTCCCAGGGCCCCTTCATGAGTGGCCTTTTCTTCTTCTCCTCCCCCCCCGGGGCCGCCCGCTCTGCCCTCTTCCCACTCCTGCATGCTGGCCAAATCGCTCTTCGGTGCTCTCGTCTAGCCCTATCGCTGGTGCAGCCAACTCTGCCTCGCTGCCGACGAGAAAAAGTGTGTGTGTGTGTGTGTGGCGTTCTGGTTTGCCAACGCCAGCGCTAGAGTAGCTCTCACAGCGCCCGGCGGTCATACATTCTGTTCTGATGAGATTTGGACCATCTGTTGATCCGCCGCCGCCGCCGCCTGCGGCGGGCAACGTTCACTCCTGCTCGAGGCTGGAACGTTGCGGCTTTCGTGGGCATGCCGGTGGCCTGGCTTCCTGGTTTGGTTGCGTCTTCGGGCTTGGATGCCGTCTGCGCAGCAGAGGCGCCGCGAAAGTACGTCGGCGGCGCGCGGGTGACTCGGAATCGACGGGCTGGCCCGAGGCTCGAGGATAGTTTTTTCTTCCTTGTTTTGGAGTTCGCGTGGTCCTCCAGAGGTCTCCAGGGGCCTTTGGGGACCTCCCTCTGGCACAGGAGGCCCCCCAGAGGCTCCTGGATACCTTCGGATGCCTCCAGGGGCTACCCGCAGGTGCGCGTGCATGGCCGCGCCTCGCGATTCTGCGGCCCCTGCCGGGGAGCTGCCCTTCTGGTGGAGGCGGCGCGGAGGTCGCGCGAAGGTGGCCGCGCGTCGCACCCCGCGCGGCGCGCAGCGCGAAGTGCAGTGGCCAAGGCCCTTGGACTCGTATCGCCGCGCTGATGCGCTATTGTTCGGCGGTGTTCTCCTTCTCCTCCTCCTCCTCTTCTTCTACTTCCCCTTCTCCTCCCCCTTCCCCCCCGGACCACAGGATGATGATGCTGATGATGATGATGATGCTGATGATTATGATGATGATGCTGTCGATGATGATGATGATGATGATGATGATGATGATGATGATGCTGATGATGATGATGATGATGATGCTGGTGATGATGATGATGATGATGATGATGATGATGATGATGATGATGATGATGATGATGATGCACTGTTGCGCTATTGTTCGGCGTTGTTCTCCTCCGCCTCCTTCTCCTCTTTTCCTCCTTCCCATTATCCTCCTCCTCCCCCTTCTCCCCCCGACCGCAGGATGATGATGATGATGATGATGATGATGATGATGGTGATGATGATGCTGACAATGATGATGTCGATGATGATGATGATGATGATGATGATGCTGATGACGATGATGCTGATTATGATGATGCTGCTGATGATGATGATGGTGATGTTGATGATGTTGACGATGATGATGACGATTATGACGATTGTGATGGTGATGATGATGCTGAGGATGACGATGATGATGATGATCCTGTTGTTGACGATGATGCTACGGATGATGATGCTGATGATGATGATGATGATGATGCTGATGATGATGATGATGATCATGATGATGATGATGATGATGATGATGATGGTGTTGATGATGATGGTGGTGGTGGTGATGATGACGATGATGCTGATGCTGATGATGCTGCTGATGACTCTATAGGCTTACGCCACATCCGCCGACCCCTTGTTATGTCTTGTTTGCCGAGATACCGCTTCCCAGGTCTTCTCTGGGAACCGGCCTTGGGGTCTTCTTGCATATCACTTGGGGGCCTTTTGAGCTGTCTTGGACTCGATGAGAGCACGGGAGGCACATGTACGCAATATGCCGTGGTGCAGGCGGCCCGGGCCCCGGGTCGGCACACTCTCCGAGATCACCTTTCTTTGGCTCACGACTTCTTCCCGGGCCGACCAGGCTCCTAGGCGGGTTCCCGAGGGCTACGCCAGGGGAAACAGGAAGAGGAGGGAATGATAGAATGGGAGGGAGTTGGTCGATGTTTCTGTTTGAGGGCCAGGGGAAGGAAATTATTATAGAGGCGGTGGAACGGACTGCTTTGGGTGGCATTGTCGCTACGGCTGGACTCTGTGAGAGTGTCTCGTGGCCTTCGGTCCATCCGGCCGCTGTGCCTGGGTTGTGGGTATGAAGCCTCGGGGCTAGCCGTTGGGATCTCGCGGGGAGGCTTCTCGCGAGCCTCTTGGAGGCAGTTTCGAAGGCTCTTGGGGGCCGTTTTGGGGCCTCTTTTGAGCCTCTTGGGGGCCTTTTTTGGGTGCCTTTTGGGTGCCTCTTGGGCCCTCTCGGGGGCTTCTTCGGGCTTCCTGGGAGTCTCTTCATGTGAAAATCTAAATTTTCGGTTCGAGGTTCCCCTCTTGGGCCTTGTCTGGGGCATGCTGGGAGCACTTTTGGGCCGTCTTGGAGCCCTTTGGGGTCCTCTTTGGGGATTCGCGGGAGGGTGTTGGAACGTCGTGGGGCGGTTTTCGGTGCCTTTCGGATGTTCTTCAACGCTGCGCAGGCCGAAAAGTCGTAGATGCTAGAAATGTATGTTTTCCCAATGGAAGTTGACGATTTTGGCTGGCTTCCTGGGAGGCCCTCTTGGAGGCCTCTTGGGGTGTCTTCGCGGCTTCTTGGACATCTTGGATCGATCATTCGGCGAGTCTGGGCTCTCTTGGACCGTCTTGGGGGTGTCTTGGGAGTCTCGACGGGTGTCTTGGAGCTCCAGACCGAGCCTGCAGAGCTCGGACCGCCCCTGGTGAGTTCGGGGGTGGGCCGTCCGCGGGCCGGGGGGGGGTCAAATTGCCAGTTTGGGGTCCCCAGACTGTTTTTTTTTTTGGGGGGGAATGAAGAATCTCACACGCCCAGAGACCCACAAGGGGTCGGCGGATGATGATGATGATGATGATGATGATGATGATGATGATGATGATGATGATGATGATGATGATGATGATGATGATGATGATGATGATGATGATGATGATGATGATGATGATGATGATGATCATGATGTGATGGTTGTGGTGGTGGGTGGTGGTGGTGGTTGTGGTGGTGGTGGGTGTGGTGGTGATGATGATGATGATGATGATGATGATGATGCTGCTGATGCTGATGCTGATGCTGATGCTGATGATGATGATGATGATGTGATGATGCTGATGCTGATGCTGATGATGATGAAGATGATGATGATGATGATGATGATGATGATGATGATGATGCTGATGCTGATGCTGATGATGATGGTGATGATGATGATGATGATGATGATGATGATGATGGATGAGATGATGATGATGCTGATGATGATGATGATGATGATGATGATGATGATGATGAGGATGAGGATGAGGAGGATGATGATGATGATGAGATGATGATGATGATGATGGAGGAGGAGGAGGAGGAGAGGAGGAGGAGGAGGAGGAGGAGGAGGAGCGAGGAGGACGAGGAGGACGAGGAGGACGAGGAGGAGGATGCGCTGATGCGCATCGCCGCACTGACGTGTTATTGTTGGGCGATCCCCATGTTGCGTGCCTTCTGATCGGTGGCAGCGTCAGGAGGGATAGGCTCAGGGGGATGCACGGGCCCCCAATCGCCCACTCATCGCCGATAACGGGCCTGATGGGCCCATCCCGCCCAGGAGCGTGCGGATTTGCTGCGGGGGATCCATCGACGATGCATCGCCGATGCTGTCCTCCCCTGAGCTGGTTCCCCCCGGTCGTTGCCCCTCCTCTTGGAGTTCAGTCGGGCCTGTCCCTCTAAAGGAGGACTGTTCAAAAATAGTCAACAAAGATAGTCAGTGGACGATTTTTTTACTATTCTGGTGCATGTTTGGGGCTTTTTTTGGGGAATTTGTTTGATTGTTCGTCCACGACCCGCCAGCAGGGGGACATGCCCGACCCAGTCTTAGAGGGAGGGCCCTGGAGCCAGGCAATCCCGTCCTCGACTTCCAGGAGTACCGGAACAACACAGGAGCGCGCCTTTCGGGAGCCTTGAGACGGGGGTCAATGCAAACGGGGGTCAGCCAGGGCGCCAGATCCTGCAGGATCCTGCGAAGACCCCCTCCGGCTGACCCGGGTTAGCGAGCCGCTCGTGGCCGCGAGGCGGCCGCGCATATTGGCTGACCCGGGTTTGCGAAGATCTGCGTTGCAGTTTTTTTTCCTGCATTGCAGTTTTTGGTTTCCTGCTGACCCGGGTCTGGATTGACCCGGGTCAGAAGATCCCCGAGCCTTTTGGGGCCGCAGCGGCCCGGGCGAGGTCGCGACGCGGGCACGGCGGGCCTGCAGCCCTGCCCAAGCACGCAGGTCCCCACGAAAGCACGAAGGGTGCAGCTCGACGCGGGAAGCAGCTGCGCGGCCCAGGTTTCGGAGCTCTTCCTCCTCCTCCTCCTCCTCCTCCTCCTCCTCCTCCTCCCTCCTCCTCCTCCTCCTCCTCCTCCTCCTCCTCCTCCTCCTCCTCCTCCTCCTCCTCCTCCTCCTCCTCCCCTCTCCTCCTCCTCTCCCCTCCTCCTCCTCCTCCTCCTCCTCCTCCTCCTCCTCCTCCTCCTCCTCCTCCTCCTCCTCCTCCTCCTCCTCCTCCTCCTCCTCCTCCTCTCCTCCTCCTCCTCCTCCTCCTCCTCCTCCTCCTCCTCCTCCTCCTCCTTCCCTCCTCCCCTCCTCCTCCTCCTCCTCCTCCTCCTCCTCCTCCTCTCCTCTCTCCTCCCTCCTCATCCTCCTCCTCCTCTCTCTTCTCCTCCTCCTCCCTCTTCCTCCTCCTTCTCCTCTTCCTCCTCTTCCTCTCCTCCTCCCTCCTCCTCCTCCTCCTCCCCTCCTCCTCTTCCTCCTAGGATGTCCTGAAAACTCCGTGGGGGTTTGGATCCGGGGGGTTTGGGACAGTAGCCTTTTTTTCTCTTGGAAGCGTCGGTGATGAATCATCGAATGGCGCATGGTCATCCATCCATCCGTTCGTCCATCTACCCATCCACCCACCCATCTACTGCAAAGGGTAGGACAGGGATCGTGGGGGGTCACTTCAGCTGCTACATGCAGCTGACTTCGGCCCCGCCGCCGGGCCCACCCTTCGACACATGGGCGCCTCTCGGCGCTAGGAGGCGCCAGGAAAACCACCTACGTGAGCCGATACTCTACCCTTTGCCTTGGCATCGTTCGGACGTGTGCATGCTTCCTCGGCGGGAACCATCGAGAAGCATCTGGGATCCTCGTGCGAACAAGTCACGCACGAAACCGAGCAATGGACGGGAAGTGGACGTCCGAGCGACGGCGAGCTGCTATCCCGCCCTCTCGTCCCCCCGGGCTGGGGGCCCCCCTTCGCCCCCCCTCGTCTCGACCTGACTAATGGCACAACGCTGTCTAGGGGAACAAAAAGTGACATAAACAAAAACTCGGAGGTCCGCGCGGATTTCTCGGACCGGCGCTGGGGCCCCCCCGGCGGCGCCTCCGGCGCCGCCCCTGGCGCGCTCCGCGCGCCAGGGAGGGGGGCCCAGCGCGGATCCGAGAAACCCGCGCGGACCTCCGAGGTTTTATCTTTGTGCCACTTTTTGGTTCTCCTTTGTCGGCGCTCAATGAACCAGAGGAAGGAAGCTTCGGGCAACGGGCCCCCTACCTGTCCTGCCCGGCCACCCCTCCCTTGTCCCGCCTCGAGGAGAGAGGGATGGAAAGGCGAGGATGAGGCAGAAGCGGGAGAGGCAGCGACGACGCAAGAGGGGAGAAATAGACGGGAGCAGGGAGTAGCGAGAGCATGGTGATGGAAGGAGGAGGAGGAGGAGGAGGAGGAGGAGGATGAGGAGGAGGAGGAGGAGGAGGAGGAGGAGGAGGAGGAGGAGGAGGAGGGCTGAGGAGGAGGAGGAGGAGGTGGAGGAGGAGGGAGGTGGGAGGAGAAAGGAGGAGGAGGAAGGAAGCAGAGCAGGAAGGCAGACACCAGCAGGAGGCTGGACCCCTGGTCGAGAGAGCACCCGCCCTCTGCACGGCCGTGCCGTCGCCGCCTCCCGGGGCGCGGCGCGTCCCCCTGGCGGACCCGCCCGGGGGTGCTTTTTTCCGCTCCGATCCCTCTCCCCCTCCCCTCGCCCCCCTCCCCCTCCCCCCCCCTCCCCCTCCCCCCCCTCCCCCTCCCCCTCCCCCTCCCCTCCCCCCCTCCCCCTCCCCCTCCCCCCCCCCCTCCTCCTCCTCCTCCTCCTCCGAGTCCCTCAGGAAACGCGGCAAGCACCAGACCTACGGGGCGCTGCTGGCGGCAGCGTGCGCAGGCACATGGACGCAGGCCAGGAAGCGCCAGGAGTTCAACACAGGCGATGAGACCTGCGAGTGCGGGCAGCGCGAGGACGACTTCCACCGCATCTGGGGAGCATGCTCTGCGAGGAAGCCCTCGGAGGTGGTCGAGAAGACGGCAGGACTCGTCGCGAGAGCCGAAGCAGGTGTGGCGGGAGCCCCGGCTTTCTGGCTCAGAGGGCTCACGCCTAAGGCCTGGACGGTGCCACCCCCGTGCGGCACGGAGGAGCAGGAGACGCCGCTGGGGCAGTGCCTCCAGGGAGGCAGACTACAGGCCCCAGAGGGTGGGCAGCTCACCATCTGCGGGGACGGCTCAGGCGGCGAGTACAGCAGCGACGTGAGGTACAGGCGATGCGGGTGGAGTTGGGTGATGCTGGACACCAGAGGGCGCCCCAGAGACTTCCCGACCTGGGCCGCGAAGTTCGGCCCGCTGCCAGGCACGCGCCAGTCCAACAACAGGGCGGAGCTGTGGTCGCTCATCAATTGCCTGGAGTCGAAGTGCGGAGGCCTGACCTTCTGGACGGACAGTGAGATCACCCTCGTCGGCTGGCACGCACGACGCGATGAGAGACCACAAGGAGCAGCCAACTGCGACCTCTGGCGCCGCGTGAGGAAGGCCATCGCCGAGAGAGGAGGTGGCAGAGATATCATCACATTGTGCCACCTGAACAGCCACCTGACGGAGACGGAGGCAGTGGAGAAGCACATCCCGAGAGAGGCTTGGGAAGGTAATCGAGAGGCGGACAGACTGGCCGATGCAGGAGCCAAGCAGCACGCCATCCCCGAGAACCAGATGGGCTGCTACGAATGGGTGCGGGCGACAGCGGGCCTGGTAAGGGCGCGCATTGCGGCCTGCACTCAGGACGCCATGGAGCGGAGGCCGACGGAGAGCAAGGAGCTGAAGCTGGCGAGGAGGCACGCAGTCATGCAGAGGAGAGCGCAGAGGAAGCTCAAGGCAGACTTCCTCACGCGAGACCCCCGCAGACGGCCAGCCACCACGCACGACCTGGTGAAGCTCAGACGAGGACGAGGGTGGAGGTGCAAGTGCTGCAACCAGTCGGTCACGCCGGCGACGGCCCTATCCAGCATCAAGGAGTGGTTCGAGCAGAAGTGCGGAGGCCCGCCCCCGGTGGCAGGCAGGTGCATAGAGTTCAATGGCCACACCTCGCACCCATCGCACCCCCTGCGATGGTTGGGCCGCCAGAGGCGCTGGTTCTGCACGCTCTGTGCGAGCTCCGCCACGGAGATGGTCTCGGACAAGCTGCAGGCGCCCTGCCGCCTCCGCCCCACCTGCGAGTCGAGGAGGTACCTGCTGAAGAGCTGGACCAAGCTTGCAGACGCAGAGGAGTGGAGGATGTGGCCAGAGGACAAGCAAGACGAGATGCGAGAGACACCAGGATGGTCTGACGCGGTCGCGGACCCCTTCGCAGATCGCGAAGATCACATCGAAGAGGAGCAGCTGCCGCAAACAACAGAAGACTTCGAGGCGGAGGTCCCTGACGAGCCCAGAGAGCATGACGCGGACTTCTTGACCAACGTTGTGGTAGACAGGACCTCGCAACTAACAGAGCGGACCCACACCCTGGGAAACCGACAGACTGAACGCGAGGGGGGGGGGGGGGCTTGGCCCGCGGATGCCACGTGAACCGCGAACACGGCGAGCGGCATAGTCGGGGGACCTCGCCCGAGCCAGAGGGCAGCAGCATCGAGGATGACCTGAGGGGAATCCGAGAGGCGGCTGCTGGAGTGATCGAGAATGGCGACCACGCCGCGGTGCTCGACAGCGACCTGTCTCCCCCGCGCGCTGACCCCCTCCCACCCCTGGGACCAGGAGTGCCCAGAGGCCCCTCCAAGAGGTATAATGGGAGGGGTGAGCCCCGCGCTGGGAGACGCACGCTGGAGCAGGCGGACGCGCTGGATAGGCGCGGCAGGCCCCTCCAGAGGCGGAGTGAAGCAGAGCGGCGAGCTGCCAGGGGCCAGGAGGCTGCAGCTGCCGCCGCACGCTCCCCGCCGAGGCCGCCCAAGCCCAAGATGAGCGAGCAGGAGACAGAGGCGAGGGCGACGCGGCTGCTGGAGGTGGCGGCTGCGCCGAGAGCGCTGACCAGGCAGTGCCAGCCGAAGGAGACAAGCCTGAAGCCCAAGCAGGACGAGCCAGACGACAGCCAGAGGAGAAGCGAAGACGCCAGGAGGGCGCTGGAGGCCGCCAGGGAGAGAGCGAGGTCCAGCCCAGCAGCCACGACGGACAGGAGATGCAGCCCGCCCAAGACCAAGGTGTTGCCGCTGGCGACGCTGAGGCAGCTCCTGGCGGGCCCCACGCCGCCGCCCCAGCCGCCAGCGGGAGCGCGGAGACCCGCGCGGAGGCCAGCCCCGCCAGGGGCGCCCGCAGGAGAGCGGCTGGCCCAGGGGCCGCTGCGCGGGAGCCACGCCTCGCCCGCTGGAGGAGGAGGGCCCTGTTGCGGGCGGGCACAGCGGGCGCCGCAGGCGCGGCCCGACGCGCCCCCAGGCGCGGGGCCAGGCAGCCCGCGGGCCGCCGTCGCCGTCGCCGCCGCCTCGAAGACGCCCTGGGGTGGGCGGGCGGCGGCGCGGCGACTCTCGACTTTGTCGTCAGGGGAATGTCCAGGGAATGTCTCCTCCTCCTCCTCCTCCTCCTCCTCCTCCTCCTCCTCCTCCTCCTTCTCCCACCTCCCACCTCCCTCCTCCCTCCTCCCTCCTCC